GGGCGCTTACAATTCACTTCTAGTCAATGATTTCACCTCCTAAACTCATTCATTTACTTCTGCTGACTCAACCAGTTTAAACCCAAAATGACAAGATTGGATTGCAGCAAGTACCATAAGAAAGGACAAATACTGCTTGGTATGTGAGAAGTATCTACTTTGGCATCGGGAAAAGCTGATTTAATCTGCCTTAACATGGCATGAATACGTGAGTAGTCTTCAAGGCCTTTCAAATTCGTTCCGGCTGTTCTTCCCTCTCTCTGTCGGCCAGTGTTGGGAGCCATTATCTGAGGGCTCGAAAAAAGAGAAAAGGAATCCATTTATTCGGTTGTGAATAATTCCAGTGCATACAGGATGGACTTCAGTATTGGCACTACTTACCGTATTTATCATTGGTAACATGTGCACTTTAGCCCTTGAATTTGAATGCGTCATTTCTGGCAATGAGTAAATTAATGTTGGAGATAGTGCTGCAGCAATTAAGACCAACAGATGGCCACCCTTTACATGGAAGCAATCACTTACACTGCACATAAACTACAGCTCTACTCTGCATCACAGTAAACTTCTCGATGACAGAGTATACCCGCCTCCACTCACAACTGACCTGCAACATATTTACCTCCATCGATGGGCACTGTCGCCTGGCTACCGAGATCACCTTCTAGACCCTAACAAGATTACCTAAATCATGCCGCGACAGAGCTCACTCCTTTCATCAAGGCATGAGACAGTAGCAAGTAGCACAATTTCAGAGGAATCAACTTCCACTGTCTATGGATGAGTTCAAAGCCACTTTCACTTTGACCGTCCTCAGCTAACCATTCAAAAAGAAAAGACCCACATTCTGCTAAGGCGTTTATTTTCTTGTACTTGTACCAGGGGCTAGGCATTGCAAGAGTTGATGTATAAACAAAAAAGCAGTGAGAAAAGAGATATCAAATATCTATACGTAAAGAACTGACAAGTACTATGTGTCAGGCAGTAAGTGTCAATCTTAGGGTAGAGACAAGAGTGAATTAAAAATGAGATGAAGGACTATGTTCATGAAAATTTGTCCAAAGCGACAATATCTGGTGAAGGAGGAATGAGAAGTCGGTGAGTAGGACCTCGATGTCTAGGCTACTACAGCTCCACCGACGTATCACACGCCATTGATTCTGCGCATTTGACAGGCAACCACGACCACACATTTTACCACTATATCCTCCTTTCTACCATCTGCTGCCTCACTTGCTTACGATATTAGCGAATGAGGTTCTACCCATCCGAATTTTCCTGACCATGACCTTCTTCCCCCAAGCTTGACACGTCTTCGCATAACCATACTCCTCTTCTCTGCTTTCCCCTCCATACACCTGACACTCCGATGAATGCACATCCATCTTTGTTGTGCATCTTCTGCCCTCAGCTCTGCGTCGTTTAGTGTGCAAAGGCACCCACATTGCCGACGTGAACGAATGAGCATGCCTAGACTCGGCCCCTGTTCAGTGCCGGTAGTCGTTGGCCGGCTACGCCGAGTGCTAGATCCGTGCCTTTGCTTGTATTTATAGTGCTAATTGGCATTGACCTTTGCTTCGTTATTCGTTTATATTTATCATATCTCAGCCTAAGTTGAGCCAATAAGGTGGTATGGAAGAATATTCCTACTTCTTACAACTCCTAAGGAATCGTAATCAAGTATGAATTTGGAGGAAATGGTAGGGTTCAAAAAGTTAAAAATTACAAATAAAAAGTTGCAGAAATTAAAAATTGGGACCGGAATGTCTTTTAAAGCATTCAGGAACCTCCAGCAAACGCAATTTGTCTTCTACTATCCAACTCATTCTTTTGAGGGCCTTCAGGCATAAAGATTCAATATGGCTGACATTTAAATCTGTGCAAACCATCTATAGTGCAAGAAGTACGCAAAAGAGACCTTCACTATGTTTGGCAATTTGAATAATTTTTTAAATATGACCGACACTCATCCATTATCTTCATTCATTTTAAAAAAGTAAACTGATAGAAAAAAATATTCACGTGGCTACTCGTCAGTGGCCTTCTTAAGTTCGTTGTGTTTCGGTGACACCTTCTTTCTCTCCTTCTATCTTGATACAAACAATTTGGTTCCTCTATTTTTGAATTTCCAGTGGAATATGTGGTTCATTGGAATAGGTAAGGTATGAGACAAGAATGAAGGGAAGGATAAAAGAGAGTCCATTGTGCCACCAACTTGAAAGCAGGTGATTACACTGTGCTTGTTTCATTAAATCTGCTGCTTAACAGTTGCAGCATCCACATTTAGACCAAAATGGTTCTGAGAAGAGCCTGCCTCTCCTGCTTTCTCATTGCGCAAAACAAACCATTAAGTCTATTTACTGGTTAGACAGGTGTTCTCCACCACAATAACAGCTAGATGGATAGATATGCCGATACGCTGACAGGTAGGTAGATAGGCGGGTAGAAAAACG